GTGGCAATTAGCCGCCATTGACTTTTTTTTAGAATTAACATAGTCTCGACTATTTTGTACTTTACTATAAAAGTCATGAAGAAGCTTCATAAGAGGGACATGTAATGAGAACATTCCCATTACCAATAACTTCTTTTGATAAGCGACACAACTTGTTCTAAGTAATCCTTGTTAATTCACACATAACGACAGTTTGCCGCTAGAGGAAGGGCCTCATAAGTTTTTGAGGTTAATCTTCGCTGTTGTAGCCATCACTTGCTCAAATTCCCATGCCACAATCTGGTCCAGACCATGCCTCCCATGCTGGGCAAAGCCATACTATAAATCGTTATGCGAGGCGTTCAACGCCACCACTTCCAGCAACTAACATCGCGTATTTCCTTCAGGATCCAGAGTTCATTCAAGGACTATCGTCTCTCATAGCTCGAGCTATGCCCAGAACTTCGAGCACCGTGCCACTACCTACACCTTTTCCTACAAATCCAACGGAACAACCAAATCCTGTTCACCAAAATCAAGAAACACATGCAACAACATCACATGCCACTTCACAACCACGTCACACTTCTCAACACCGAGATGAGCTGACTCGTATAACTGCAAATCTAGTACCAGATAACCTGACCACGTGTGGGCCTCCTGTTCAGGAAATGACTGTTGAAAGCCATTATGCCCATCATCACAGCGCCCCTTTACGTCCTAGACCTCCCTCGCCTTTGCCTCAAGATCGTGAAGATTTACGCCATCAGATTGAATGAAACCGTATGTCAAGACATAGCTCAGAGGAACTAGACTCTCCGTAAAAGACTTGATGAAATAGAAACCCGACAGAAATCACAAGAAGAGTCCCCTCGACATGTCTCGACATCGGGTAACGTCATCGTTGAAGCTGACTCGCCCTTGGCTCCCGAACTTACTGCAGAGGCACTCCCCACTAAGATAAAAATTCCACAAATCGGTATGTATGATGGAACTTCAGATCCTGATGCACATTTGGGTCATTATACGTCTTGGATGGATTTGCATGGCGTGTTCGATTCTCTGAGATGTCGGATGTTTTCACTCACACTAGGGCCGCGTGCGCAAAAATGGTACTATACTCTCCCACCTCTGTAATATCCCGTCATGTTAGTAATATAAATCATGTGTTTGTTCCGATATAATAATATTGTTGATTATTATTTTCGGAATTAAATATTTCAGTCGAGATTACCCGAAATTATTTTCAAAGTCATGTTGATGTTCGGAATAATTTTGGTAATTAAGTATCATGTTAGTTAATTAATTAAGCATATAGATTATGCTTAATTAGGATTAATTTTTCTCGCACTAATAAATGTCGTAGCATTGAGGAAATTTGTGCAAGAATTCCTTTAAAAGCCGTGAGCATGTCGCAAGGGAAACTTATCATTTGCTTAAGTGTGAGGTATCTTTTCTTGAGCAACTAAGTGATGACTAAGCTTATTAATAAGCCTCATATGCTTATGTTATGACAAGTGTTAACATTTAGGTTAAGCCACCTCTTAATTCTATTTTCTCCTCACCTCCTCATTTTCGGTCCTTTATATAGCTTATGTTGAGGAGATTTTAGCACCCTAAATGTTCCTTAGATAATACAAGCATAGAGAGTTTCCCTTAGTGAGAATTACCTTAGTAAGTGCACCGCAAGCACGCACAAGAAGCGCCACGAACACGCAAGGAAGCGTCGAACTCCGAGTAATCACGAGCACCTTGTACGACCCGGCGAGCAAGTGGAGAGGTAATCACTTGGGATATATCTTTTCTATATTAGTAGCATCATGTTCAGCTTATATCATGACAACCGATTTCAAGTATTGGCCTTAAGTAGCTCATGGTCGTACCATTTCAATCGTATGGAGCATGTTCGTTTTTAATTTGAAAACTCTCGAACTATTGTCATGTATTCAGTCATTTTATGTTATATCATGTCCAGTCAACTCGTGTTGGTCGAAGAATTTTCTTGTTTAGTTGTTGAGATGGCTAGAAGGACGTGGATGCGCACGTAGCGCATGCCACGGCCGTCCGTGTATATGGTCATGTTATTCAGTGATCCTTCGAGCATTTCATGTTTATTTGTCCAGTAAATATTATTTCATGTTTAGTTGTGTTTTAGTTGCCGAGAGAAAAACCACGTTCGGGCGAGAAGCGGCTTAACGCCGTAGGCGGCGCACGGTGCGCACGCCACGGCCACTTTAGCATGTTATGCAAAATTCATGATTTTGAGTGTTTTCAGCAAATTTGATCATGTCAAGTCATTTCATGTTATTTCAAGTTAAAACGGTCGAGAGAAATCGCCGGTCGTGGCCGCGCTGCCCGCACACAGCGGCAGCAGCGCGCCGGCAGTCAGTGATACGGAAGTGGTCATCAACCCAGGCGAGTCCGACGAGGAAGGTGACGATGGTCTCGATATATGGCTGGAGAACATGTTGGAAGAGCCATCAAGCCCGATATATCGACCTTCATGCAAAAGAGACTGGCCGAAAGGATGTGGTCCACGGGCTAAGCTAAAGCCTAAGAAGCGCAAGACCAAACGAGCCCGAGGGACACGCAAGGCGAAGGCTAAGGAATCATGTTGTTGGTGCAAGACTTGCACAAGAAAGAGACGAACAAGGAAGAAGGAGGCTAGAAGGCGTGGTTTGCGATGGGTTGACAAAAGGTGGTGGATACCGGCATATGATTGTGAGAGGTTGAAGGGTTGGGATCCATGGCCCGAGCCGACGGAGACGAGCGGCAACAAGGAGGGAGACGGCGATCGGCTGATGGGCGAATGGCACGCATCGTCCCATGATGCGCGCGGTTGGACAGAGCAGGATGATGTACGAGGGTTCATGATAGGCGGGCAAGTCACAGACGTCGACTGGGACGCGTTGGCATTCGGTGGCGTAACGGCGGGGCGCGAAAGACACACAGATGGGCAGTTTGCGGGAGAGAGCGGTACGAGCAATGTCGCGGGTGAACGGGGGTGCACCGTAAGCGATTGGGACTCGGACGGTAGCCAGGACGCACGCAAGGCGGACAGCGATGAGGTGGCGCGCGCATGGGCGCGCGTGTGGAGTCCGGACGCGGGCGGGGACCTAAGCCTCGGAGGCTTAGGAATGCAGAAGGTACACGTGCGCGAGATAGGCGGCGAGCGCGGGGAGCGCGCGATGGCGCGCGCGTACGAGATTGACGACCCAAGCCGCTCGGGCTTAGGAGTACCGGATGGCGAGGAGCACGCGCAGGACGAGGACAGCGCATGCTTGGGGCGCACGCTGGCGCGCGCGTGCAAAACGGACGAAGCACGCAAGTCCGCGTGCGCCAAGGACTAGGAAAGCCGACGGGCGACGTGCGCGCAATAAGGCGGCCGAGTACTTAGGGGCGTAAATTTAGAATTGTTTGGAGTGCAAGCCAAGCAAGGTCAAGACAATCAAGTTAATTAGGACTCTAGATATTTAGTTTCCTTCTTGCACAATCGTATCTAGAATGTTTAGGCTATTAAATATTTAATTGCTTTAATTAGAGATTTAGTAGTATTAGGATTTATTTACTGCACAGTTTATAGAGATTTAGTTGGAGTAGGTTTAGTCATAGTTAGGATCTATAAATAGGGAGCATCCCTCATTGTTTTTGATGTCCAGAATTGATGAGTTGAATAGAAAAGAACGTTTGTTCGAAACCGTGTGTTAGGATTCGTGAGAGTTCGATCATGCAATCGA